TCACCTCAGGTAAGGTACAAAGGTATTCGTGGAAGGAGTCTTTGGAGTAGACAGTTATGAATCATTTAATTCCTTCTTAGCAATAAACTGTGGTAGACTCATGGATGGAGCTGTTGCCTCTGTGAGAAGAGTGATGGACAAGAGTCTGTAGCCAAGATGAATCCCAGGGTTTCAGCAGGGAAGCCTCCGCAGTAGTGTGCTGGTGGTGATTTCTTTATAAAGTATAAAAGGGGCCAAACAGCCCATGCACCTCTTTTCTTTGGCCACAGTTGCTTTAGAGCAGCATCTGAGAAGATCCACAGAGGGAGTCAATCAGGACTTCCACCTTGCTTTACTTTTAGGACTGGACACTGATGAGCCTGTTGAGTGCACTTTGCAAACCCTCATTGAAGTGCTTGCTTACAATGGCCTACTTTCTGATGGACAGCTGAACCTCAGCCACACTATTTGCATGGGGGCGGGGATTGGTTGGGGGAAGATGCTTGGATCTTAGTCACTAGTTGTTAACGTGCCAGACAAGACCCAAAGCTGTGGATGGTAAACTAGTTAGGGTGAGTTCCAGAATGAAATATCTAAGTAATGGTCACAGACTGCAAGGGAAACAGAGGTAGCAATAAGGGCCACTCTGGCAGGGCGTTTCAAGGGGGGCTCAGGTCAGATAACTCTGATTGGGTAATGCCTGTGGTGATGGTGGTCCTGTTAGTTTTGGAGCCTTTCTTGAATGAGCCATTGAGTCTGTACTGGCGAGAATGTTGTCAATGAAGGGCCACAGGACTTTGTGCATTGGTGTCAGAGCTTGGAAAGCCAGGCAGAAGGCTGGGAAGATGTTCATCACAGAGGCGTGGTGCCAACCGCAGAAGGCCAGCAGGCAGTCACATTAACAGGCAGAGGTGTGAATCAGCTCTGGAGTCTCCAAGACGTTAGTCACGTGGCTCCTGGTCTCTGCTTCATCTCTAGAGCTTGAGAATTCTTAGGGCAAATCCAGAGTCAAAACATCATGGGACATTTCATTTTTATAGCTATTATGACATGGGACTCAGAGGTCATTTGGAGATGGTCTGTGGCAGAAATAAAGATGGCAGCATGCATAGAAAAATGTGTTGTTTCTGGAGCCATCAGGCCCTCTTGCGGTTCTCTCTCTGTCCAACATGCTTGGCAATGTCCTGCAGTAAGGTTTGGGTGTGTAGAACACACACATGGGGCTGGTGGTGATTGGCTGCGGTGTGGGGCTTGTGGTGATTGGCTGTGGTGCGGGGTTTATAATGAAGATGTGAATGTAATAATTTTCATGGTGTCTTCCTTCTTTTAGGTATAAATTCTCGTGAACTCCTGGTTTACAAGGACTGTACTTGGAACTGCACGTTTGTCTATAGTGTACACCAACCTGAACCAACTCCAAAAAGCCTCCCCAAAACTAATAGCTTCTATTTTGTTTATTGCTGTTCAGGCATGTCTTGCAATCAGGGAGGACCTGTTAATTTGGAGAAGGACTTATTACCAGATACCATAGTCGAAGAAAACTTAGTAGATGGAACTGTGTGTCTGGGGGAGGTCAAGCCCCTCCTGAGCCTTGCCTTCATCCTGTTCAGCAGTGCACTGACCTGACCCCCCTTAGATGAAAGCAGTTTTGCTGTCCGTTGCTTCTCTGCCCACTGGCCCCCGGTTGGCCCTGTTCATGCCTTGTTGTGAAAAATAAAGATGTTGTTGTTGTTACTGAAAAACCTCTTAGACATTGTTTCCATGCTCTCATTTCTACTTGAACCCCTTCTCTCTTCTACTAAGTCCTTAGGAGTTACTTTGTGGTGTCACGATTTGAAATGCTTTGTTGGCTAAACATTCATCATGCAGGTAGGTCAAAAGCATCTGGCTACCTTAGCAGACAGGCTGAGTGCCTCAAACAAAGGCCGAACTACTTCAAGGCTAGTCAGCATGCAGGCTGGCAAGACAGTTCCCATCTATGCCGAGACCTTGGGGACCTGAAGTCACTTAATTATTCCCTGCCGAGTCTTTTCAGTGCTCAGGTCAAGAGAGAAGGGATAGAGAGGAGGCCTGACAGAGAACTGCATCTGGACCATGGGGCCCGTCAGTCGTGTCTGTGTCTTACCTGTGTTGTGGGACGGGCTCTACAGGAACCGAATTGTCTCCAGTGCCATCTGCTTTCATGGTGGAGATGGTATTTCCCCAGTGCTAACTCAAGTCTCTGATAGCTTTCAACTTTTAAAATTGCTTGTGTATTTAGTGTGTGGATGAATGCCATGGCTCATGCATGTGGAGGTGAGAGGACAACTTGTGGGAGTTGGTTGTCTCCTTCTGCCACATCGGTCCTCCCTTGGTGCTCGGCCGACTGGGCTCCTGCCCTCTTGGTCCCCTTTCCTCAGGGTTCAGACCTCATTTCACCCTCAGGGCTCCAAACCTCTCTTGGCTCTTCTGTCAGCATTTCGTGTGGATGAATGCCATGGCTCATGCATGTGGAGGTGAGAGGACAACTTGTGGGAGTTGGTTGTCTCCTTCTGCCACATCGGTCCTCCCTTGGTGCTCGGCCGACTGGGCTCCTGCCCTCTTGGTCCCCTTTCCTCAGGGTTCAGACCTCATTTCACCCTCAGGGCTCCAAACCTCTCTTGGCTCTTCTGTCAGCATTTCAGCCTTCTAAGCCCTGCATGCTCCAAAGTCCATCTCTTGGTACCCCCCCCCAGGGCCTGCAGCCCCAAACAGGGACCTTTATCCCAACTTCTTTACCCTTCATCCAGGGATCCACCTTCAAGGCTCAGGTCCCTCACCACCTGCCCACCCTCAGCCCTCTCACCCCTCCTATGGTGCCCTGCCCCCAAAGCCCACTTCCTGCAGGGATCTGACCCTCCTTCAGGACCCTGAGCCCCTCACTGGGC